CACATTCATAAATTCTCAAAACACTGTAAAAAGGTCATTTTGTTTTACTTTAAAAAGTGAGTAAGCCTGTTCCCAGTACATCGATTAGTTGACTGTACTTAAAAACGTGAGTAAACCTGTTGCCTTAAATGATGAAGTAAATTAACTGCATATTTATAAAAATTAAGTAAAGTCAACTGAACAGTTCCAAGTTACAACGAATCTACTCCCTTTTTTAAGGAGAGTCAACATGTTGCAGCATGTAAGTCAACATGGTTTACTTGCTTTTTTAAGGAAAGTAACTAATTGCTTTTTATAGTGCCATTGAAATAACTTCCTTTCAGTAATGCGTTAATCCGCTGCCTAAAACATATGCTGGAATAGCTGGCGGTTCATTCCACTGTGGCAACCCTTGGTGAATAGGGGACTAAGCTGAAGGAAAATTAATGAATAAAATAACTTCCTCTATCTCTTGTCAGTCATAAGACGCCGCCCACTAGCGATCCACAAAAACCTTATGAACAAATCAACTATAAATGGGACGGCAGAAAGTTTTTTTTTTAATTCATTCAAATCAGAGGCAGACTGGCCATAGGGTGGTGGTTTGATCTAGAAACATGTGGGTCTGATCAATGCAGACCTCTCTGCTTATAATGATATTTCACCCTGATTGTGGCACCATGTTCATTCAGCATCACTAATTCAATATCAGACCTTTTAAGCGCAGTTGAAAATGCTCTCATTAAATCCATGTAATACTCATGTGCTGTGGACAAAAATAAAAGCCCTGACATTATTTACTCACTCTTGTGCCGTTAAAGACATTTGTATGATTTTCTGCAGTTAAGAGTAGAATGGAAAGATCCAGTTTTAAATACAATTGTTTAATAAAAGATCAAATAAAATGCATGTATTAAATCATAAATCAACTTAAAACAAATAAGTATATAAAATTTAATAAAGTATGTTAGTTTAATTAAATTATATGTATTTTTATCATCCCTTTTGCCATACTTTAAAAAAGTTTTAGAGTAAAAATCTAAATTAAAAAGACCTAAAAATTACACACAGACATTTTTATTTGAATACTTGTTAATATAATTAACTTAAAAAAATAATTATAATATAAATAAATATATATATATATATATATATATATATATATATATATATATATATATATATATATATATTTTTTTTTTTTTTTTTTTTTTTTTTTTTTTTTGACAAATTAAATATGATTATTTTGCACACATAATTTTCAGAGTTCATCATGCTATCTGTGTGAGTGTGTAAGAGCACTAATGCCTGTTTCACACCACAAGCGCAAGTAGAGTGTGAGCAGCGCATACACAGCACATATGGAGAGCAAAAGCCGACTGTGTCTGCAGCGCGCAGCTCATCGGCAGCTACTGCACAGACCAATCTACCTCTGTCTATTCTATCTAGTAATCTATCTATCTATAAATACACTTTTTACGTTTCATCTGCATCTGCAGCCTGCGGCAACTTCCACTTATGCTGTTTCCTTAACCTGCAACCCTTTTTATAATTACAAATTATATAGGTCCTAAACAACTGTATGCTTCTCGCTCTATGAAGAGTGTCATTCATGTCTTTCCAGGTGTTCTTGGTCAAAAGAAAATCGCCTGTGATATCATGTCATTTTGTTTTTGATTGTCTGGATGGTGTAGGCCTTTAGTCATAATGCAATATAGTTATAATAATATTTATACATGATCAAACTAGTGTGCAGCTTCAGCAAAAACTAAAATAGTTTTTAAATTTCATTCTGTAGTTCGAGCACAACTAACTATTTGTTGCTTATTTTAATTGTTTGAGTTCATTTGATTAAATATATAAACATCAGTGGATATTATTGATGCATTTATTGCGTAAAAAATGCGTAATAAATTTTTACTTTTTACTGTCATTCAATGTGTTTTTGTTCATTATTAATGAACTGTCACTTTAATTGAGCGTGAGCAGTGCGGCAAATTATGAAAGCTCTAATCTGTTAAATGGACGACGAAAAAACACGCTGCTCATGCTCTGCTCACGAATGCGGTGCGAAACAGGCTTAACATGAGCTGTGGAATGTCAGAGTAGAGCTTATTAATATTCATGACCATCCCAAATATGGTCAAAAGCATGCATTTGATTCTAGTGCTAATTCCTTTGATTATAAATGCGCAAATGAAACCAGTTCTGGAGAATGTTTGAATAACCTATTTCATCATATTACTACTATGTAGATATCAGGGAACACTATTGACTCAATGCACTCTATGGCACCTCTAAACAAAACACGGTGACTGGTGTAGAGAACTGCTTGAACATAATGTGCTCAGCAGAAAGCTGACTTTGCTCCACTTACACAAATGTAAGTCCAGTGAATTCAACACCCTCACTGGCAGTTAGCTGATTGTGAGGTGGTGTTGACAGCCAGTTGTATAAGGAAGCCTGAGAGCTTTATCTCACTATATCTTGGTCCTATCAGTGACATCAAAATTAGCTCAAAAGCCTTAACTTCTAAGCACTATCTACTGTAACCTTGAGACAAGGACAGGGAGTAAATAAAGTGGCCTTTATAAAATCTGCACACAGAAAAGACTTGAAACTTTAAAATGAAAGCTGATGACTGATCCTCCGTCTCCGGTCAGGCCTTTGTCATTAGTAATGCATCTCAATGGGCTGAAGCCAGGAGTCACAAGGCTCTCATGTGGTTTGTTTACTCTTCTGTACACGTATTATCCCAATAGTGTTATTAGACCTGGGGTGTGTGTGTGTGTGTGTGTTATGTAAGAGTGTGTACACATGACTACTGGATCCATTATTGCAGCCTAGCTTATATAGCAGCCAGTGGATTGACCATGACAAGACAGGTCTAATGTTTGCTAACACACTGCAGGTGAATAGGGTGAAAAAAATTAAAGGGATAGTTTACACAAAAATCTAAGTTTTGTATATATTAGGCCAATTTGCATGCATCTGAAAAATTTCAGAATACAGATATGAATAAAACTTAAGTTCAGAGTATATAATTGCTGCTGAAGTAGAGATATATGGTTTTATGGCAGAAGATAAAACTAATTTTGAGAGAATGGACTTTAAAATATGTATTGTAATTGAAATCTACATACACAAGTGGATAAAGTACAACAAAAGTGCAACTTATAAGGGAATTTTGTGATGTTTTTTTAAATTATAGCAAGAAAACACTATGAAAAGCCAAACAGAACAAACTCACTTATAAAAAACAAATGCTGTAATCATTTAATCTCTCATGTTGTTGTTTCTGTTGAATACAAAAAGTAATAAATTATTTCTTAGTATTCTAACTTGCTTTCAATTGGCTTACGGGGGATTTATCCTTCTGTGTGATCTGCGTGACCCACATCGCCTGCCTTGCGCGTAGTCGTGCATTTATACCTCTGTGTGCTGTTTGTGTTGCTCTGCAATAGCACTTCTGAAACGCTAGCTGTCAGTAGTTTTTATGTTCCTCTGTGTCGAGTTTCCTTGCAGGTGTTTTGTTTTTTTTCGAACGCGACAACTATCTAAAACACGCTCATTCAGAGGCAGGAACTGGCGGACGTGCAACAACTTTAATCATAAGGTAAACACAAAAGAAAAGTTTCCATCTGGAGCTCCTTCACAAGACTCGACACTTGTAAACAGTCGCTCTATTGGGTTGGCGGCTCTCACTGGATAACAAGCTTACCAATCACAGTGCTTGCACTATGCGTTGTTGCGATGTGTACAGTAGTTACAATTTTTGAGAGGTTCGCCTTGGCCAGGGCTATGCGACCACATAAAGGCTTCACCGAACCATATGTGTGCTATTGACGCAGAAGTATAATTCAGCCTTTATTTCCTGATTTATCAGGGACCACCACAGCTAAATGAACCTCCAATTTATCTGGCAGTAGTTTTATATAGTGTATGCCCTTTCAGGAACCTAGCATGTCTTTGGATTGTGGGGGAAACCAGAGCATCTGGAGGAATAACCATCGAAAGAATGTGCAAAATCCAGACAGCAACGCCTCCTGGTTCAGCTAGGATACAAACCAGCAACCTTTGTGCTCTGAGGCAACCATGTTAACCACTTGGCCACCGTGCCTCCTTTCTTAATATTTTACTAATAACATGTTTTTAAAATTCTATAAAAATAATGTAAACCATAAAAATACAAAATGGAAACACCTCAGCTCAGGGGTTAGCACTGTCGCTTCACAGTAAGAACATTGCTGGTTCGAGTTCCGGCAGGGTCAGTTGGCATTTCTGTGTGGAGTTTGCATGTTCTGCTCATGTTGGTATGGGTTTCCTCAGGGTGCTCCGGTTTCCCCTACAGTCCAAAGACATGCACTTGTATGAACTAAAACCTATGAACTAGTAAATTGGATGAACTAAATTGGCCGTTGTGTATGTGTGTGTGAATGAGTGTGTATTGATTTTTCCAGTACTGGGTTGCAGCTGAAAGGGCATCTGCTGTCTAAAACTAATGTTGGACATGTTGGCGGTTCATTCTGCTGTGGCGACCCCTGATAAATAAAAGGACCAAGCCGCAGGAAAATGAATGAATAAAGGAAACACCTATCAGTAAGGTCTCATTTATTAAAACTAGCTAATGCATTAACTATCGGCAATAAACTGGTAGCCATTGACATATATAGTAAGGAAAAAATAGCCAGTCACTACAAGTTTCAAGCATTCTTCAGAATATCTACTTTTATGTACGACAGAATAATGAAACTGGAATTTGGAACAAGTGGATGACAAATGTCACATTTGAGTGAACTGTTCCTTTAATAAAATAACAGCTTCCTCAATATTTTTCTCCTCTTAAGTGAGAAATTGACTCAAGTTGAATCACTAGTCTAATAAAGTTATTATATTCCATAAAAAGCATGCTGTTTCACCTAAAGCTCACATGAGACACACCTCACACTGAACTCATGGCTTCATCTCCATTGGTGTCTGTAACCAGAAACGTTTTAAACTTCAAACTAACAGCTGCTCACCTGAGGATTGTCTTCCATGACACTGCGTATCTTGTCCACCACGTCAATGCGGCGTTGGCGGTGAAGAGCATTGATAAGTTTGGCCAAATTGGCGTCGCTGTCTCGTATGGTCCAGTGCTGTAGAGCAGCGTATGCTCTCTCATGATCCGCCGTGTAGCCGTTGGAAAAGGCGGCCACCTCTCGCTCTGTGGCACTGGCCAGAGATTTATACAAGTCGATCCACTGACTGCCAATCTGAGCTGCCACCAACTTCAGGATGTCAACACCTGGAAAACGAGAGGAAAGGTCAATCATGTGTTTATCAGCTGTAAGCTGCGGTTTGAACCATATAATACTATAAAACGTTTTACCTTTGGAAAGCTTTACTGATATATTACCATACAGCGTGCCATTTACTGATAAACAACGGCATTTAAAAGTTTAGGGCCAGTAATAATGATCATATGGTCGCGTGTGCATGTGTGTGACAACCCATGTGATGTTTACTGATAAACAACGTTGTTTAGTTATACACAACGACGTTGAAAAGTTTAGTGGCAGTAATAATGATCATATGGTCGCATGTGTATGTGTGTGACAACCCATGTTGTGAAAAAGCACACCAATGCAAGGCATTCAAACTTTACTACATTGTACCAAGGCCCATAAATTATCCTCATTGTCATAGTTGGTATCCATTTTACTTTATTTTTTGTTTTACTACTCACATTATTTTTGTGTTGTGCTGAATACTTTCACAAAAGTAATAAAGTCTTTGACAAAATAAAGGGAGGGGTCTTAAATCGTAATGCAAGTGGTCACAAGAGACACTTTGGAATGCATGATAAGACCGAAATAAAATGGTAACAATGGTAATAAAAAGCACATGAGGGAGCTGCGCATAATTTTTTACATGCGGTTACAAAGATATGAAAGGCAAACAGAGTCAAAAATCTTTTTAAGAAATGCATGACATTTGATTGTGCAAATGCATCAACAAGCACAACAGCGAATGAAGTTGCAAAATTTGAAGACTATATTTGTATGTGTGACATGATTTACTTTAGAATATACACACGGACAAGATTTTTTATGTTTATTCACAAATTGCTGATATTTGGTTGAGTTTAGGTTATGTTGTAAAATGACCAACATCTTAAACCAACATCATATTGACGTCAAATACTGACATTTATTCATCAGGTATGGCAACCAAAATCCAACGTCTGACAACAAAAGTCAAAACGTCAACCTGTAACATCATTAGATGCTCATATTTTGTTGTTTTTAGGTTGCATTAGAAAGTAACCAACATGCAATGTCTGTTCAACGTTGGACATTGACATTAGGTTCAGAGGTTAACCTGATTTTCATTTCCAAACAAAATGCAATGTCTTACAATGTTGGGGTAAAACATCAATCTGATATCATGCTGATGTCCTGTGCCTGCTGCGTACTATAGAAACATTTTCGAAATTGCCATCTTAACACAGCCCTGAATTTTCTGCTCTCAAAATTAGCATCACACATACTATGTGTGGAGCCCTTGCTTAAGCACAAAAACAAGAATACTTTGGAATTAAGCTATTATTACTAAGAGTTGCCAGATTAAATAGTCTTATCAACCAAAAATATATGACTTTTGCTTCTGCTATGTAAAATCATTTATAAGGTTATAAGTCTTGTAAATGTAGTTAGCATGCTCTGCTGTTGGTGCAGTATAGTGTAGACACAGTGAATGTCTATGCAGAAGAGCAGAAATCTAGAGTTACAGTCTGCCAGCGGCTTCTGTGGACATGATGTCCCATGGAGAAGGTCACTGCAATGACCTAGATTGATTCCTGTGTTTATATACTTTGGTGTAGCATGACAAAGACTTGCTTCCTAGGGAATTCTTCGAAGAGTCACTCCTGAATGCAAAGCCAGGGAACCCTGTGTGGAATATTGTGTTTTAATTCACACTATTTGCATGCATGCTGCATATTTCCACTTGAAACCTTCTAATCATGTTTGCTATTGCTCAAGCTCGAGGTGAGGGCACTGAATGTGCAGTGTTGAACTTGTACAGTGTAAATTGTACTGAATGTCATGTAGCATAAATTGTGCCATAGAGATGAATGATAAAATAATAATGTCATGTAAAATAAATCCCCAGTTTCTTGAAAAACTGCAGAAATTCACAAAAAAAAAAACTAAAACATGGCACATTTTCATAACCTGAAATAAAATAAATGTTACCTGAAATGTAAACATTTTTCTAAAAGAATGTAACCAGAAAGCCAATTAATTAGCCAATAAACAGTGAAATAGAAGTACATTAGCTGGCAGCTAGCTCTCTAATACTCTCACATGGTTGCCTACTGAAGCTAAGCAGGGCTGCGCTCTGGGAGACCACATGGGAAAGCTAGGTGTTAGTGAGGCCAGCAGAGGTCCTAATGCCCCAGTATAATGATGGGGACTCTATACTGCTCTGTGAGAGCCGTCCTTCGGATGAGACGTTAAACCGAGGTTCAGACCCTATCTGGTCGTTAAAATTTCCAGAATGTCCTTCGAAAAAGAGTAGAGCCCTATCCATCATGGCCTTTTAACCATATCATAATATGCATAATTAGCTGTCTCCTCTCCACCAATCAGTAGGTGTGAGGTGTGCAATATGGCTGCTGTCGCGTCATCCATGTGGATGCTGCACACTGGTGGTGGATGAGGAGATTCCCCCCAAAAATGCTTTGAGTGTCTAGAAAAGCGCTATATAAATGCAAGGAATTAATATTGTTATTATTAAACTGTAAACTAACACTAAATAATGACATTATTCTACAGTTTCTGTATAACTTTCCTAGAGACTTTCATCTAAGTAAGCAAAAAATTCAAGTAAACTTTCAAAACACCATCACTTAACCATCTAAAGCATCTAATATAAAACAACACAGATTAATGTAATCTGCATTAAATTAGCCTCTGCTGACAATAAACGTGACGAGATGATTGGACATAACAGGATGACTGTGGGGGAAAACAGCTGCTGAAATGTATTAAAGCATCTATCTATAAGCCAGATCTGTCTTATTTGGGATCCATCTGTAGCAAATTCCCTCGCTCTCTGGAGGATAGCGTGCCACAGACTGTACAGCGGATCTGAAAATGCCAGGGCCTGCGGGATGCCCATCCTATCGCCTGTCGTTTCCAGAGGTTGCCCTGCTATGACAGCGTGTTAGAGGAGGAGAGGCTCTGTTTAAGGGATCTAGGTCGAGGTTGACGGGTCGCGTGATGCTCTAACTTTTTATGATTGCACAGCGTGATGGTTTGGCTGCTCCAATCCCGAAGGCTATTTTTCTAAACTGCTGGGAGAACATGTGCTGCTACTATCTGAATGTACAGTGTGGTTGCAGATGTTTCAATGTTAGTATGATCTATCTATCTATCTATCTATCTATCTATCTATCTATCTATCTATCTATCTATCTATCTATCTATCTATCTATCCATCCATCCATCCATCCATCCATCCATCCATCCATCCATCCATCCATCCATCCATCCATCCATCCATCCATCCATCCATCCATCCATCCATCCATCCATCCATCCATCCATCCATCCATCCATCCATCCCTGTCCGTCTGTATCTATCCACCCATCCCTGTCTGTCTCTATCTATCTATCTATCTATCTATCTATCTATCTATCTATCTATCTATCTTTCTATCTATCTATCTATCTATCTATCTATCTATCTATCTATCTATCTATCTATCTATCTATCTATCAATATCCATCCATCCGTCCGTCCGTCCGTCTGTCTGTCTGTCTGTCTGTCTGTCTGTCTATCTATCTATCTATCTATCTATCTATCTATCTATCTATCTATCTATCTATCTATCTATCTATCTATCTATCTATCTATCTATCTATATCCATCCATCCATCCATCCATCCATCCATCCATCCATCCATCCATCCATCCATCCATCCATCCATCCATCCATCCATCCATCCATCCATCTATCTATCTATCTATCTATCTACAGTATCTATCTATCTACAGTATCTATCTATCTATCTATCTATCTATCTATCTATCTATCCCTGTCCATCCATCCCTGTCCGTCTGTATCTATCCATCCATCCCTGTTAATATCTATCTATCTATCTATCTATCTATCTATCTATCTATCTATCTATCTATCTATCTATCTATCTATCTATCTATCTATCTATCTATCTATCTATCTATCTATCTATCTGTCTGTCTGTCTGTCTGTCTGTCTGTCTGTCTGTCTGTCTGTCTGTCTGTCTGTCTGTCTGTCTGTCTGTCTATCAAAATAATAACTATATATATATATATATATATATATATATATATATATATATATTTTTTTTTTTTTTTTTTTTTTTTTTCTCTTTTGAAGGATACTATGTAAGTACTATGTAAGGCAATGGCCACTGGATTATAATATTCTTCAAAGTATTTTGTGAAAGTGCAGGAACACGTTATGAATCATTTGCATGTGCAACGACAATATCTTTCCACCAATAGCCATTCACAATGGAACAAAGCCTTTAACATCTTCATATGAGGATTCAAACGAGGTGGCGAACCAGCTGCCACAGGTCTAGGTTGGCTGCAAAACAAAGCAAGTCAGGACTTCCCCCTCTCAGTGAGTCGCCGTGGTGGCTTTGCCGGAATGTCTCCCATAAATCCCTGACACCTCATACATGATACCAGCCGCCACAATTACAACTTCCCCATCAAAACAATGAAACCGTTGGCGTGATGGAGTCCAGGGGATCCTACAAGCTTCCCCCGAGTTTCCCTGCCTCTTATACAAAATGCTGGCAGAGTTGAGCTCACCCATGAAGCTCCTAATCGTCTCTTATAAAAGCCCCAGCCCACCCTGATTCTGGGCAGTGGGCTTTTATAGATAACACCTATTGCAGAGGTTGTTATATGGGGCGTATGTGCGGGTGGTTCTACGTCTTTGATCTCTGCTATGCGTGCTTTGTTATACCTCCAATGAAAGAATTCATTATTTGTACGATCGCTCCTTCATCTTTATATATGTTTCCCATGCGGCCCTTTATGGCCATTATTTCCCTAATGTAGTAAACGGACACACATGCACTTCAGGCCGCCCAATTACACACCTTGAATGCATTAGGGAAATGTTTTGTGTTGTGTTTGGAAGGCAGCCGGCTGTGCAAAGGTTACCTGTGCTTTCTAGCATGATTCAAGGGGGCTCTGCTATTTCGTTTAAACTCAAATGTTCAGCGAGTAATAAATTCTTTG